CTCCATACTCTTTAATGAAATCTCTCTCCATCTTATCAATTTCCCAGTTTTCCATTTAAAGATGTGCTTCTAGGGGGAAGTTCAAAGACCTCTTGAGTAATACGGATGTATTTTTTAATGGTGTATCATTATACATTTAAATTTAATCCTATAATTCCTTTTAAGTTAAATTCTGCACACATTTCAGTGTTCAGTTTGAGGCTCAGTATTTTGCAAATGGCTTGCCAGCTGTTTCTCTGCCCCTACTGAAGTGTTCCTTCAGGCCTTGACTAATCATCGCACTTTTGTCAAAAATTGCCTGAGCAGTTGTGTGTCCATTTCTAAATTCTTTATGCAATAATGCAAGTGGGTCTCTTGAGTTTAGTTGAAAGCCTGACCTTCTCTAAGCGTGAAGCATTTCTCTGGTAGACTGGGTTTGGATTTAATCTACTAATCAGCTTCTTCTAGCTTTCCAGAAGATGACCTTTGGATTTGACTCAAAAAGCCCCTGCATCTTGTGAACTTCCTTAGAGTAAATCTCTTTCTGTGTGTACACATCTGCTTCTCTCATTAGCAAAAAATATAAAATTGGCTTGAGTGTTAACCTTCTATCTTATAACTGTGTATTCACTTGACTCTATAGCTCTGTGTGTGTGTGTGTGTGTGTGTGTGTGCTTGAGAATATTTTATAGACACGAACACTTATTTTTCTCTTTCTACACTGTATGCTTTTTACCATAACCTCACTGGATGGCTAACAATGCTGTGTTGAGTGTGAGGGAAACTGCTTGTCACCTTAGAAAATTTTCCTTTTTGAGGTTTAGTAGTGATGATTTACCCTTTCATCTACTTTTTTCCATTTTATCTCATGCTCTTGTTTTTATTTGCTTTCTTTTGGTGGTGCTGAGGATCTAATATGGACCCTTTGCACACACTAGGCAAGAGTTAGGGCATTGGAAACAGAACAAAGCTCAACTCCTGGTGAAGCTTCAGTAGACATCATGGCTCAGAAGGCAAGTCAAATAACCATCTAGGTCCCCCGGCCAGACCTTCCATGGCCTGTCTTTGCCTCTGGTAGAAATGTATCCTAACGAGTAGACACTTTGATCATGAAATATGGCTTTGAACCGTTAGTAGAAAGAGAACATGAAGCACAAACTTGGTGAGGTATCATGGCCCATTTGAGAAGCACATACCAGTGTCTGTCACCAACCAAAGGACAATCTGAAGGACCCTTTCAAAGTGAAGGGTTTCTCCAGTCAGGATGGTGTGGTTAGTGGTAGCACCAAATCATGTATATAAATTTGTAGTTTATACTAGTATGTTGTATGAGGTGAGGCTATGGCAGTAATTTTTCTTCCTAGTAGTTATACTAACTCATAAAATTATTTTTCTCTTGTAGACAGATATAGTATCATGCTCCATTGAAAATACAGAAGACAATGTCAGGGCCCTGAGTTTCCTGTCTATGTTTCCCACTGTGACAGTGACAGCATAGTCCATCATAGTTGTTTGTAGTAGCTTGTGGACTGAGGTCATTCCACCCACTCCTATACCCACTTGCTGTTTTATTCAAATGTCATTACTACTAAGCCCAGATTATTTCAAATAATGTTTCTATTAAAACATGCCTTCCTATCAGTTGAAAATATTACTTTGTCTGTTTGTTCTAATAATAACTTAGAGTCTTTGACCTATCAAATAAACTTGTGACCTGAATGAAAACATTTATCTTGTTAGGTGAACGATGCAGTCATTCTCATTTGTTATGCTGCTGTGGGCTGGTAAGATTGCTCAACAGCTAAGGCACTTGCTGTGGAGCCTGAAGTCCTGAGTGTGGTCTTTGGTCCCCACATGGTCAAACGAGAGAACCAAGTCCCCCAATTATCCACATATGCATCCTTTCTCTATCACAAAAATCAGTAAGTCTGGAAAAGAAAACCGTTTTCAACGGACATGAATTTTCCTTACCCATTAGAGTGTGAATCCACACACGTCACTCTTTTATGTTTTAAAGAGCTAGGAATTTTCTCTCCTGTGATCATGATTTAAAGTCATCAGGACACATAGGAAAATCAAAGTAACCTAGCACCAAACCTGCTCTTATAATCCAGGTAGAGGTGTTGTGGTGGTTAGAACATTCTAGGCTCAGAGGGAATGGTACTGTTAGGAGGTTTGGCCTTGTTGGAGGAAGTTTGTCACTTAGAGATCCTCCTCCTAGCTGCCAGTGAGAGAGTCTGCACCAGGCTTCCTTTGGATGAACATGTAGAACTCCCAGCTCCTTCAGCACCATGCCTGCCTGGACACTGCCATGCTTCTTGCCATGATGATAATGGATGGAACCTCATGACCTGTAAGCTAGCCCTAATTAAATGCTGTCCTTTTTAAGAGTTGCCTTGATCATGGTGTCTCTTCCCAACAATGGAATCTCTAACTAAGACAAGCATAATTTGCAAGCACTACACAAATAGATTTTAATAAATATTGTGATATAAACCCTTGCAGCAACAATGTTGCATGATCCTATTAAAGAAGAAACAAATCCAGAAAGGTTCATTCACTTATAAAGCAAACAAACAAACTTTCAAGTATCTGGCAATCACCTCAGAGAAGAGAATACAGCAGAGTTCACTGTGAACTTATGCTTATTCTGAGTCCCCACCAACTTGGCTTTCTTAGATATCACGCTGTAGAGACCAAACTTGAATGTTATTCTCAGTAAGCTTTGCTTTTATACATTTGTCACTCTTTGAGCATGGCTCTTGTGAACACTCTGTGACATTTTATTAAATGTGCATAAGCTAAATGTTCTTGTGCCACTAAAATGAATGGGAAATGGTTGGTTTCTGTAGTGCTGATGGAGAGACAGAATATGGGTTTTACCTCCCAGAAGCCCTACAATGTTTCACAATAAAGAAACAGGAAAAAGCTCTCATTGAGGACAGAAAAGAAAAACACCATTTTGAAATATGAAAAACAGCATGCTTTCTAAGAAGTTTGGCTCCCCGTGGAAAATCCATCACTAGAATTGTATTGCACATAGGGAGTAGGTCATGGATCAGCTGCTGTCCCTTTAATCCCCTCTAACTTTTCCAATTCTCTAAAGAGGGGAAGCACATCTCAGCCCACAGCACAAGCATACTGAGAGGTTGACAAACAATCATAAGATCACAGGACTCATATCTGTCTCAATACCTCACCCATCGGCTCAAAGGCTCAAAAGATGTTTAGGGACACCAAAGGCAGCCAGTGACACAAACCAAGGACCCGATGGGATTTTCAATCCAGTACATCTAAAATTGCAGAAGCACTAACCATAGCCAAAGTTCTGGCTGATTTAACATGAGGCTGTTCAGCTTACTTGTTATTGCTTCATGTATCAGGTTCGTTTAGCACTAATGGGTAGAGGCATTCTGGAAACCGAGGGCGAACACAGTCTGTAGAGGGAAAACACTTACCAGAAGCAGACTGAGAGATGACACGGGTGCCAGATCACTGTCTGGTCCTAGGGCGAAACTGACAGCACTCAGAAAGAGAATTTAAATAAGGATAGCAGAGAGTCAAAAAACGAGAAGATCTGAAAGAAAATTGGCTATTTTGGCAGCATGCCTACTAAAAGTTCTCAAACTGACATTGTACACTAAACACCTGGAGGAAACATCAGAAATACATGCAGTAATACATTTATGTCAGAAATGCTGAAATTGAGAATAAATCAGGCACTGTATAGACTTCCCATAATTTATGCCCTGTCAAACTCTTAGCAATATTTCTTTCACTAGTGTCACCTGTACTATTAGAGAGGGGGGACATGAAAAGCAACAAGAAAAGAAATAAACTCAAATTGCATCACTTGTAAGCCTGTCTCTTTAAACAAGGCCTTAGGATTCCTTCTGCTGAGGAAAGGAGTCAGGAGCGTATGAAGGGTGGGGATGGGGGGGCAGGAGAAGGGAGAGGGAGAAGAAGTCAGTCACAGGTACTGGTGTCAGTTTTGTAAGCTAGGAGAACAGGAGTTTGTATTATGTGGATTTTGCCATTGGAAAAGAAAAATCTTCCAGAAAAATATTATTTCAGGATAGTAAGTAAATATCAGAAGGCAGAAATATCCTAAAGCTTTCAAAAATTTCAGAGCACAAAAATTTACTACCCGATAAATCACCTTCTGACTAAGGATGTTTAGTATTTTAAGAGCATCCCTGTTTCTCTCAGGCCTGCTCTGTCTTCCGGTTTATGGTCAGCTGCTATAATTGTCTTCCTTACCCATGACTCCTATTATTCACCATTTCCAACACACCCCATCCCAAAGCAGCCAGCTCTCTGAAGTCATGATTATTTTCTTTAACTTGTCCATTTCATGTGAATGTTTTCCTCTTTTTCATGACTCAGACTGCAATTTCAGGGCAAGCATTTATTCTTGTTGAATTCCCTGTGTTTTAGCCAAAAGATTTTATGCTTCACCTTTTAAATCTCTATTCAATGAAGTGTCTATTTTCTTTTTGAAAATTGAGCTCCAAGGACAAAGGAATTAATGTATTTTAACCTATGTTTAAATTAAATATGTAAATTAAGAAACAATTTTCATGTTAGCAAAAGTTAAAAGAGTGTTTCTAGGAAAAGAAAGTACACAAAATCTAATTTTCTACCATTTTGATACAATGACATCAATATGATGAATCTATGATGATCTTCCCAAATTAAACGTCCTTAATTATCCAATCAATAAATGAACTAAAGACTAAATAGATAGTTGTTGAGGGAAGAAATACAGCTATCTAGTCAGTGACCATTTCAAGAAGCATTTTACATTCTTAGACATCAGACACTTTCATAGGATAGTGACAATTTTAAATATTAGGATAGCCACAATTTTTAAATATTCACTATTTTCTAGTATCTAGATAGTTTAAGCTCGGCTCTGTACTACTTGAGAATTTTTTAATGTTCAATGATAGAGAGGCTTTACCAGCTGACTTACATGATTTCTGTGTCATATATAGAAGTCATACAAATGACCAACAAATGAAAATAACCAGAGTCAGTGATTTGGATTTATTTTAATGTCTGGTGGTGTTTAACAAACTGCTTTGCAACAGGATAGCTAGGCACAACAGGCACACAGTTCACAATATGACCTAAACAACCCATTCCCAAACACATAAACCAGCCTCCTTCTCTTTGATTTGTTAATTTTTCTGTCATATTAGCATTTCCCCTCCCCTAATACCATACATTATTTCATCTTTTCCATGAATGCTTCACTGACACACCTATTGAGTGTGTACGGAGGAGCTAGTAGCCTGAAATGTTTGGTTCCCAGGTCTTAAAGCTTAAGCCACAAAGAAGCCTGAGTGTTCTTGACATTTATGTTATCAGCTGAGAAGAATCAAGGCTAGAAACTGGAGGCAAAAGAAACATTTAGGCTACAAGGCTGTGACTAGGTTTTGAAAGTATTAGATGCTGGAGGGGAACGGGCTACGTGTTCTGATGGTGACCTCTAGGCCTGGGAAATGTAGGAATTAAAAGATCAAAGTAGTTTCAGGGGAAAAAATTGGGTATATAAATTTATTGAGTATCCTCACTTATCTCTTGGGTCAGCCATGGGACATCCAAATCTCACAAGTAGAGTTCAGTAATACCCTCATCAACACATTACACTTCTATAAGGAAAGAGCTTTCATACCACTAGAGTTTATCTCAAATATTTATATTTTAACCATATATACATCATATACATATACCCTGTCGATACATGAGGTACTTCAAACTATTCTTTTTAGTAGAGAAACCAGATATGTGTATGAGGGAAAGGTTGGACAGGGTCAAGAATAAACTCAGAGCAGGGAGAGGGAAGGCTGGAGATGTGAGCAGGGCAATGCTTCAGAATGCAAAATTGCTCTAGACTGCAGAATGCTTTTCTATGTGTGTCTGTCTCATTTAGTCTTATGGTGACTTCATGAAGAAGAGCAGGTATCAATGTCAGTTTTCACAAAACCAGAGATTTTTAAAAAAGAGGTAAGAGGTGGGCCAGTCACCATAGAAACGGTCCTTTGGGCTGTAAGAAGCTCCAGCCAATGGATTGCGGAGCTGCACTCCTGCTTAGCTGCTTCTCCATTATCTTGGACTTACTGACTTTGGTGCATGCTTTCTTTGCAAAAGTGTGAGGCATAACTTCAGCAGTCATGTGTGACTCTCAACTACTAAATTAATATTCTAGGAAGAAAATGAATTGTTAATGTTTTCATTCAACTTAGCAATATGTAGAAAATCTTATCACACTGACCACCCAGAAAAAATTACTAGCTTTTTACAAATTACTGAGTTTTATACAAGATACTGAAAACTCAGGAAAGGGCGTGAGAGATGGCTGCTCTTAAAGATGACCTGTGTTCAATTCCCAGGATCCAGGCAGCAGCTCACAACCATCTATGACTCTAGTTGCAAGGGACTAGGAAATTTCTTCTTGCCTTTGTGGGAAACCAGGCATGTATGTGGTACACAGACATATACACAGGAAAACCACCCATATACATACAATAAAAACACATTTAAATTTTTTAAAAAAACTCTACCTATCAATCACAATGGTTGTCTAATAATTTTTCAAAATTGCTGCAAGTATGTATTTTCAATGGAAAAATACTTTGTCATTATCATTAGTAAGTATGGTTGTTTTAATTAATACGGCTGCTTGAGACACGGTCTCTTGTAGCCCAGGTTGTCCTCAAACTTATCATGTAGCAGAGGATAACTTAAAACTCTTGAAGCCCCCACCCCTACCTTCCAAGTCCTTGTCAACATTTCAATATGAAAGCTCTCTGACTTTTTCTCAAAATGGTTTTCTTTAGATTATAGTACGACATGTACTCATTCTGAAGACACTGTAACAATCAATGTTCATGTCTACAGCAGAGTTCTCAGGAATTCAGGACTAAAGAGGACAAGATGCCACTTGAGATTTCTTCTTCCGCTTTTCTGGCAGTTCACACCACTTGATATCGATGTTGCTGCCCCCAAATGCTTCTCCTTTGATTTCTACAGGATTCTCTCCCGCAGCTAACTTTGATCTCCTGTGCAACACCATAGCTCCTGAACTTCCACGCCTCCATGCTGGAGAAGGGGTTTCTTTTACTATGCAATAACAAACAGCAGACACAAAGTTTTTTTTGAAGTTTTCATTCATAAGTGCATAAACAATGGGATTACAGATGGAGTTGAAAAATCCAATTATTTGCACTATAGCAAAAATCATCTTGATTGTGACTTCATCATATTCCTTTTCAAAATTACCTGAAATAAAGTAATACTTTAGCATGCTTACTGACTTCATCAAGAAATAAGTGTAAAGTTGTACCATGTGTACTTACAAATATTTACGGCTGTGTAAATAGCTAATATGAAACAGTCTCATGAATAAAAGGGATCTGGTATCTGGATAAAAGCATCTTTGTAATATATACCTATTTGTCCATGCATTGGCTGGTGCCTGGTATATACCTTAGGACTCAAGACGTATTTCAACTAAATGAAACCAAGTGTAGTGTCTGAGTAAGTATCGCCACCATAGATCTATGCATTTGAATGCTTGTCCCATAGAGAGTGGCACTATTAGGGAATATGAATTTGTTGGTATAGGTGTGACCTTGTTGGAGGAAGTGTGTCACTGAGGTGGGCTTTGAGGCCTGAAATATATTCAAGCTTTGCTTAGTGTAATACCCAGTCTCCTCCTACTGCCTGCAGATTAAGATGTAGAACTTGGCTCCTCCAGCATCATATCTGACTGCAAGCTGCCATGCTTCCCACCAGGATTATAATGGGCTAAACCTCTGAAATTGTAATCCAGCTCCAATTAAATGTATGCTTTTCTAAGAGTTACCATGATCACAATGTCTCTTCACAGCAATAAAACCCTAAGACACTAAGTTTCACATACCCTAAAAGCTCAGTCACCCTTCAAATGCTCTCCTGAACTCCAGGAACACAATCATGTTGAGTCTCCACGAACACATGAAGAGTAACTGCTTCTAGGCATCTGACTTAAATCCAAAATACATTAAATTCACAAAGCACAAGGCAAGGTTCTAAACAGAGAAGACTCTCAAGGTGTCTCCCCTTGCTAAACAGCTTAGGGAAAGGAGGGAGAAGATCTGAGAAGCTTGCAGAGATTTTCTTTATCTTCTGTCATTATCAATAACTTAGTCCTAGTCATGCACAGTCACCTACCACATGATGACCTGGTACAAAAGCAATGTTCAGTATTTGACATTTGATTATCTAAGTGAACAGCAACCGGTAAGAAATCAATGACTTCACTTATGCTATATTGGAAAAAAGAACTAGGTGAGAGAGGGGAGGGAGGGAAGGAAGGAAGGGAGGGAGGGAGGGAGGGAGGGAGGGAGGGAGGGAGGGAGGGAGGGGGAGAGAGGGAGGGGGAGAGAGAGAGAGAGAGAGAGAGAGAGAGAGAGAGAGAGAAACTTACTATATTCAATCATCATGTGAACGATGTGGAAAGGTGCCCAACACACAGCAAAGAGAACCACCACTGTCACCATCATGATCACAGCTCGTTTCTTCTTCCTAGACCCACAAACAAACATTGCATTGGTTAACTTTGTGTCGACAGACATGTCAGATTGATAGCAAAGGCATTACTGCTTGAGCCTACTCCACTTAGCCACATGTTTTCGCACACTAGCAGAGTTCCTGAGGGTATGAGAAGATTATCAGCGTTCCCCCATCTTTACAGTCTTCATACCTTACTACCTTACTCATCCCTGTGATGTGATCATCATGGGGTCTGGAACTCTACTGAAGTACATTTTCCCAATAAGCCCAGTGGTCAGAGGTAGAAACTGGGAAAGAAAGAAGTTGAATTCACAGTAGGGTGGCTAATAAATAATGTCCTCTGGGTTTAAATTTAGGGGTGTCTCTTCAGGGACATGGATTTTATTTGCTCAGCATGTGTTTAAAGCCATCCAATACCTCTGATAGCTAAACATCGGTACTTATAAAATATAGTAATTCTCAGGTATAGAGCTAAAACTTTATAATACAGTAAACTATAGATTTCAATTTCTTCATCCCTCGGAATCTAGATTTACATTTTACAGATCTACATATTTGCTTGGTGCTTTCAGTTTCAAATGTCCAGGCTCCTAGTCTGTCATTTCAGTCTGGTAACTGTTTCTTTTCTGGGGAAGTGTTCTCCACTGTCCTGAGGCTCCATTGTATACTCAGAGCAAAGTGTTCTTTAAATAAACCGGGCACTAGAGGTCGCTGCACGCTTGAAGAATTAATGAACTACCATCAACTCACTAACCTAGGCAAGATACTGCTTGTTTGTTTTAGCAGTCATTCGACAGAGATTATGCTATGGAAACTACAAATACAGCAATAAAGTGTTCTTGATATTGATGATAATAAATAAAATGACATAGCACTGCCTTTGATTGAAAATATAAGGCATCAATTATAACCATTTAGAATAAGTAACATTCTAGGGTTTCAAAGAATTGTCAGGCCGTTGCAGTATTTTAACATTATTTTCAAGTAGAAGGGAGTAGGGACAGATGTAATCATGTGGCGTTTTATATGGGAGTTCTCTCAGGGTCCTCTGAAGCAAGGCTTTCTGCATATTACTGATATTGCTAACAGTGAGGGAGGAGGAAAGGGAGTCTTGACAGCACCCCACAGTATCGTGGTTTCAAGTGAGCTTTTGCTCGCAAATTGAATTACAAATGATGCTAAGGCTAAATTAATTGCCCAGGCAACTAATAAAACATATTTTAAACACTGGTGAATACTTCAACAAACAGACCTGGCTATTTTGAACATTTCTTTTCCATGGATAGTTCGTAGCACCGAGCCATCCCCAACTCTTTTCTTGATCCAAAGCTCATAACCAATTTTCCCATAGAGGACAGACAGCAGCAACAGAGGCAGCAGGAAGAGGGTGACGAGGATGAAGGTGGTGTAGATTTTCTGGTGCACAGGGCTGCTCCACTCTTCCAAGCAGCAGATGTGTTCTTTTTCGTATAGGAAGTCATACTTAATCTTTACAGTAAGAACAATTCAGTTACACACCCCAGGAATCAGCATTCAAAGGAAAGATGCAGCCCAAAGTTATTCCACTGGGACGTCTTTAAGACCTCCCAGATGCTAGCTGCTGCTTAATTTTCAAATTTGAATCAAATTTCTATAGTTATCTTGCTGTAAACTGTAGGTTTTCCCTGGACCACTAAGGTTTTTGTACTTTGTGAATTCAGCTGATACATTTGCCTTTTTAAATTCTGATGAAATGGCCTTGGAAAGCATCGATCTGCTTCAGAGTAAGAGAAACCTAGCTGTATTTACCATCATTTCATGGCAAACCCACCAGATTGTCTTTATAACGGAAAGGCAGCTGGTAGCATTTAAATACTGGAGTGAACGAAATGCTGGATTTACCTGTTGCCAATATACTGATATTTTAATTGTATTTGTTTAATAAACAAAAGTCTTCCAATGGACTCATCTTCCAAGTTCTAAATTCATTGTTCACAACAATGATAGGTAGCACCAAATGCTAATGGCTCCTTTCCTCCAAAAGAAAAAGAATAAGTAAAGTAAGCATCTAAAATATATGCCAAGTCTTATCTCTGGAATAGGAATGAAAAGGGGAGAAGATATTGAATCTCAGTCAGTGTGGGGTTCCAAATGATAGATTTCTGTCTATCATTCTAGCAAATTTAATCACTAGTCTTGAGCATCGAGTCAAAAGTTAAAATGACTTGAGTTGGTTTTGTTTATGAGTACAACTAAGAATGATAACACTTAATGACAATAAGCTTAATGAAAACATATGTGAAAATGAAATTATTTCTGACTCAATGAGGGTAGAGCCTACAAGGGCCAGTGACCATAGTGACCACACATGAACACATTCTAGGGTTAGTGACATTGTAGCCATTCGTGAACATATCCCAAATGGTGAATCTCTACATGAGTTCACACAGTGCCAGACACAAGCAAAGGATCCACAAACACATCTTAAGATGGATGTATGGCAACCAGTTTCATATTCTCTTCAACATTTTTTATGGCCATAGGGATCAAACTCGGGGCCTTGCACACACGCAAGCCAAATGCACTCACAGCGAGTTGCTACACCTGCCTCTGATTTTGTTATTTCTAAGGAGAGATGTCTGTAATCTTCCATGGGTTACAACTGTGGCTGGGTTTGAGCTCTAACTATATTCCCAATTCCACCTCCACCTACTCTGACTCAGCCAGTCATATCCCTTGTGCAAGCTAAGCCTTGCTACTGAGGACAATTTGAATGACTCATGGCATTAGGCATCCACTGAGCAGGCTTTTCTCTATCCTGATTAAATGTCTGTTCAAGGCAGTCCAGAATTAGGGAGTCATGGCGTTTTGATGAGGTCTGAAGTGTTGTGATTTCATATTTTTATTCACTGAGGGGAAAATTAAGGACAATTTTCGTTGAATCCTCTCATTTACCTCCCTGAAGACTGTGAGTCAACGCACTGCTGAGAGAGGCCAGGGAAACCAGAGTAACAGAGCATCATTGAGAATGGCTGGCTTTGATGCTGCCTGTCATCCGGAACAGGCTCTGGCTCCCACACCCAATTCCATTCTCTCTAATAGAGTTTCAGAATGAGCAAGGTCCTGAGATGCACATTAATGTATCGATTTCAAAGCTGAAATCTGACTTTTTCCTGACAAGAAGCAAATCAGATCTGACTGGTGTTTATCAATGAGCATGGCTTTGCCTATGAGATCAGGCAGACGCATTTTCTACAAATTGAGTGATTTATACGTGTAGAATATATGATGAAATTTTATTAAAATGATAAATCTGTTTGATTTATGTGGGCAGGAAATGAGGTCCAGGATTGAAAACTAGATTATTTTCTTTTTCATTTATAAAACATACTGCTGGTGTGTGTGTGTGTGGGGGGGGGGGGCTAACAGCAGAAGGAACCAGCCATGGTGGCTGTTGAGAGGAGTAACCGGCTGGAGAATGGAGGCACATTCAGAACCTCAGAGATGTTATCAGGAATCCCAGATGGAAAGAATCGGCCCTGGGCCACACCCATGTCAGCACCAAGACATCTGCTCAGTCCTCTCTCCTCCCTGTATCTGGAAGAGGTGCCTAAGGAAGGAGGCAACAAACCTAGGAACCCACGATCATTTCAAGCTAGGGGAAAGACAAGATTTTAAATTATCCCAATGTTAGTATGTGTGCTGCCGGAGTGATCATCAAGTTTTAACTTGATCCTCATTATGGTTTTATGTGGCTACAGCACTGGCCTGGGCATCTTGTAGCAGAGCGGTACTATTCTTGTGACTGACAGAAGTCACAAGAATTTAATCATCTATATGACTTGAGGAGTTGCAGGGCCCATTGGAAGTTTCATACATATTTCATTATTAAGTTCTCGGGTGACATTTTCAAAGGTGGCAGCAGAGTAAAGCCATTTTCTGTTCTCACAGAGGCCATCTCACTCAATATATCAGTAACACACACAAAGAGACACAGAGAGAGAGAGAGAGAGAGAGAGAGAGAGAGAGAGAGAGAGAGAGAGAGAGAGTGAGAGAGAGAGAGAGAGAGAGAGGGAGGGGGAGAGAGAGAGAGAGAGAGAGAGAGAGAGAGAGAGAGAGAGAGAGAGAGAGAGAGAGAGAGAGAGACCACCTTTTACTCATTCTTGTGTTTTTAGTATTAGGGAGTGAACTTGCTGAACAAGCACGCTAACACTGGGAGATCGCCCTCACCCTTGGGTTGCTTTCTTCAATGTTTTTCACCTCATGTCTCGCTTGGAACCTCACTAAAGGATGAGGCATGCTCTGGAAATATTCACGTTTGTCTATTTCCATTTAACAGGGTACAAAGGAACACATTGTGTTATAAATTACATTCCAGCTATGTTAAGACAAATAACTTTTTTCAAAACCTTCTGCAAGATTTCAATTTTGTCTAGGTTCTCTTTGTTAAAATATAATAAAGACACTGGCACATATTTCAAATTAGCTTACACTGTACTTCTATTAAAAAGCATTATCCTTCAGAGGTTGTTTTTACATTTTTAATTAAAAATTTTACAAAGCACTACTTCAGTGTCAGTAAACCCTTTTCATCCCCAAGGTTTATTTTCCTTCACATGAACTGTGAACTGCAAGATTCGGGCAACGTATAATGACTTTTCCCCTGGCTTGCTAGTTCCCTGACATATCCATAGAACAACATATTACTGATAAATTTACATTAATCCAAGTTTCTGCTTCTTCATTCTTCTATGAGTTGTATGTGAATTTACCACTCAGTGTTCAGTCTCAAGTACATTTTGGGTTAATTTTGAATGATGGGCAGGGCAGGGACCTGCAGATTACTGCAGGATCACTTGATGAAAGTTTTTCTGTTGCAGGGCATGGTATCCTTGCTAAAATAAACTGATTAGAAACATTGATTTCTAGTGTCTCGATTTGGTTCCACTGGTCTTTGTATGAGTTACTTTTGTGCCTGTGACAAATAAATACCTGAGAGGAACCATTTGGGGGAAGAACAATTTGGGTTCATGATTTCATGGTGGAATGAATGTTGTCAGGCAGCAGCTCAGCGATGTGGGAGCAGGAACTCATGATGCCTGAGTACACTCATCAAAGACAGGAAGCAGAGAGTTGTTGTGGAATAGAGTGGCCATATAATCTATAAGGCTGGTGTATATTTCCTTCATCTCAGAAAAGTACCACAACCTCTCCAGCTAGCATCACTAGCTGGGCACAGAATGTTTAAAAGCATGGGTCTATTTCCTCACAGGTCACACTTAAACCTTAACATGCCTATCATACAAATACTGCACAATGATAACCCAGGCATTTTGCAGTAAGCCTCGAAATAGAAGCTGTGCTGTATTTGTGCTTGTCGAACTGGCTTTGTGCCTTTGTGTGTCACACTGTGGTATTTCATTTGTGCACTGTCCTGTTGGTTCAGAAGTGGCCTCTCTGTTACCCATTGCAGCAGCTCTGGACACTGACCGACTCACTTCCTGAGTCCTTGGCGATCGTTTGTCTGTGCCTGTAATTACTGGATGGATAGTTTTGGTAGCATCTATTTCCCTTCCAATATAAAGCCTTTCAGGTTGCTCAGGAGGTACATGCTTGGGCATATGAACCTTTTCTCTGAGACAATGATTTGCCGGAAAGGGGGGGCGCGGGGTGCTTCATTGCTGGGCTGTTTTTTCAGTGCTCTGTGTAAAACTGCTTCATAGTCTTACTCAGCTAAAATCGGACTAGTGGTTGACATTACTCTTATGTCTGCTTAGCATGTGAACATGCGTGTGCGTGTGCGTGTGTGCGTGCATGTGTGTGTGTGCTTATATTTTTTGTTTGTTTGTTTCTAGAGACAGGGTCTTACAGTAGAGTTAGGATTGTCCCAGAACTCACTATGCAGCCAACATGACCTTAAATTCAAAGCAATTCTCCTGTTATAGCACCCTCACTGCTGAGATTACAAGTGTGAGCCACTTAGGCTCGGTCTGAGAGAAACACCCTTGTTTGTTGTCTATATAACAGGTTTCTTATAATGAGTCAGGATTGTCATCTGTTAAGCTACCCTTTAATTGTTTGCGTCTAAATTATAAATGTTTTACTGATTTTGAGAGTGTCATTCTCTTTAAAGTCTTCCAGAGGCCACTTCTACTAAAAACACTTTCCCTGACAGAATGTCACAACAATCTGGTTTTTGAGCCTGAATCTTGTGTAGTCAGAAGGAAACTTTGGCTTGAGTTTTGGATTTAAAATAAATACCTAAATAAAATATATTCTAGGATGCATGATGGATGTCCTACTCTCTTTGAAGACAAATGTGTGTGTTATACTACAGCACATGCTAATGTATACCCCAGCAGATAGGCTGAGCAGTCCAGAACCACCTCCCTTACCTTTACTATAAATCCCTACACATGTGAAGAGAGTCTCATAAAATATGTGGAAATAGAAGAACGAGGGAGAAACTCGAGAACTGGACATGTTTCTAATTTACATTTCAGTTTGTTGATGGCTAGGACAATAGAAAAATCAGCTAGCAAAGAAACAATCTCTTATAATTGTAAGTGACTTAAAAGAAAGTCAAAACCGTAATTGAATTGCCATATCTAACAAGACTAGGATATTCTAGAAAGAACATATAAAGCTAAGAGAAAGTCATTTGGAACTTAATTTTTTTGTAAATTTAACATTAAATATTAGCAATGCAGTATGCAGTAGACTTAAGTAGCAGAGAAGAAAATTTTAAAACAGTTTTTGATTTCAGTGAAATGGATGAGGTCATATAAATTTGCCACAATATTCTTGAAGGAAGGAAATGAAGAAGAGGAGGGATGTGAAAATATTTCAAGCCTGAGTCTACCTCAAGTCGCTGCACATGCCACATGGGAGATCCTATGATGACGGCCACCAGCCACACCACACCTGCAAAAATACATAAGTTATAAAATGTACCATAGCATATTTAAGTCTCTAATCATCAAGTTTCCTAGTCTCCAATGTCCCCATCTTCTCTGTCATGCAGTACAGCTATCGCTGGTCTTCCTAAAAGTGTGTGTGTGTGTGTGAGTGTGTGTGTGTGTGTGTGTGCACGCGTGCGCGCGTGCATGCATGCAGGCTTATATATGTGTGTGTTCTCCCATGAGTGTGAGGATCCTAGAACAGAACATCAGGTCTCCTGATCTAGCACTTTCCACATTATTGCATGAAGAATTGCAAGCTCATGGTATGCCTGTCTTTTTATGTCAGTGTTGGGTATCCAAACTCAGGTTCTCATGCCTACCCAGCAAACACCCTTACCCGCCGAGCAATCTCTCCAGCCCCTACATTTTTTAAGTGTTAAAATTTCATCTATATGACTGTATTGTCTAGAAGGCAAGAAGCCAAATTCTATCACACATCCTGACCAGGTCTTCATTCTCTCCTTTCACCACTGCATGTCTTCCTTCCTAGACCCTACTAGGGAAGGATATATACAGTTCACTTCCCCCCCTCTGCATCCCAGAATTCTGTGCCCTGATCCACACCATATTTATACCTTGGATGGTCCACTCTGTTATCACTGTCCATGTGTGGACTTGTTTCCAAGATACCTCTGAAGTCACCATCCCTCAGTGACTTGAAGGTTGCTATCATTTCCTAATGAACTACTTCGTTAGTAATTCTGGGCCTACCACATCATGACACTGTTCATGCTTTTCAACTTCCCCTAAAGTCATGGATGGCAAGATCAATCCACTTACATTTTTGTTTCTCTAAATAAGAATCCAAGGAAAATTCTCAGCTTTTAGTAAGAGTTGATCCATGTTTGTTGAACCAACAAATAAGTTCTTAAAAATTTAAATTTATTTATGTGTATAGGTATTTTGTATGCATGTATGAATGTACACCATAGACACGCCTGATGTCCAGGGAGGACAAAAAAGACTGCTAGGTTTCCTGGGAGTGGCATTAAAGTCAGTTATGAGTCACCATGTGGATGCTGGGACTCAAACCCCAGTCCTCTAAAAGAATACCCAATGTTCTTAACCACTGAGACATCTCTCCAGTGCTAAAATAAACAACTTTGAGATATTTTAAAGACCACTTTCTTTCATTTATCTTTCAAGTCTGACATACATGCATTATTTTAAAAGATTTGTTTTTATTATTTTATCTATGTAGTGTGTGTGTGTGTGTGTGTGTGTGTGTGTGTGTATGTGAACAACACATGGGTGCAGATACCTCTGGAGGCCAGAAGAAACTATCAGATTCCTTGGTGCTAGAGTTACAGGCAGTTGTTAGCCAACGGACCTAGAACTGGAAACAGAAACCAGGTCTACCCAAATGGCATTATGTTCTTTTAACTGATGAACAAACTCTTTAGCATCCAAAACATGTATCTTACATTAACCTTAAAGTTAACATTCAAGAGAATGCGTTCCATTATGATCCTTATATTATTCAGGTCTAGCTGTCATTGTACATCAGTTCCACTCCCCAGCTGCTCTCCCCAATGTTCTATTCCCACTCCAACTGGTTCCGTCCTATGCTCAGTATTAGCATACCGTTCCCCAACAGCAAGACTCCTTTGGCTTTCATAAGGGATGTTGGCTTGGAGTCCTTCAGTTACCTAGATTACAGCTGAATAGCATAGCTGGGGCACATGGTATTCTATTTCCTTGAAAAAGCTCCAGACTGATTTCCCTAGAGGCTGCAGTTTCACACCCCACAGCAATGATGTGTTCTTTGTGTTTTATCTCAAATGTAGAAACTAAAAACTAGAGTTGCATGAGAGAGACATACAGAAACACACACATACAGAGAGAGAGAGAGAGAGAGAGAGAGAGAGAGAGAGAGGCTGGAAATGTGGCTATAAAAGGAAAAGCAGATATCTTAACATAATCATCAATTCTTACATTCATTTTTATGCAAATATCATAACTTAATTTTTTATGACTTGAAAATTTCCTCCTGTAAATATACCACATATTCTTTATCCCTGCATGTGTTGATGGGTATATGGGCTATTCTCAGGGCCTATTCATTGTGAATAGAAGCAATCATTACGGATGCTTGCTTGTAGGGTGTTGTCTTGGAGCCCTTTGGGTATATAGAATATAGCTAAGTATCATAGCTAGTGCACATGAAAGCTCTACTTACATGGTACCTATATTTTCTAGGGAAACTCCAGACTGATTTTCCTATCAGCTGCAGTTTCACATCCCACCGCAGTGATGTGTTCCTTTACCCACACCCTTGTCACTGTTTGTTGCATTTTTTTTCTTTCTGATGACCATTCTGAGTGTGGCACAATGGCAATTTAAATTTTCATTTTCTCCATGGCTAAGGGTGATGGATACCTTTTCAAATATGTATTAGCTATTTGTGTTGCTTCTTTTGGTAATTGTTTATTGAGTTCTTTAGACCATTAATGTTTGGATAAAACAAACACAAATGAAAAATAGCATTCTTTACAAGTTCCTGGCCCTTTGTGAATCTGTTGAGAGAAATTACTTTAATTATTTGCCATTGGCAAAGAAAAATAGATTAGCTACTGAAGGCCATTTCAGTCTATGAATCTTAACAGAATAGGAGGAGGGAAAATTTGTATTTGTCCTTTTTTGTCCTGGTTTCGTATCATTTAGGAAACAGGGTATTACTTATAGCTTCAAGGAACTGAGACGCTGGGCTTATTAGAAATTCATATACAACTTGACACTACCCATAGAATATTAACATAATTCAATGATCCAAGTCAATTCTAAAGGCTTTTAAGTCTTTCTATGTGTCTCTCTCTCCACCTCAATAAACTCTTTTTTTTCTACTCTGGTAGCATTATCTTATGTTCCACCATTTTCCAGTTTCGAGCAGAAGGCCTGTGACTAATGGAGATGTTCCCTGGTGTTACACGGTGTTAAAGTGACAAAAGATGTCAGGGAAGAGCTCATACCAGCTCCTAAAGGAAGATGAGTTACCTGTATTTCAAACATTGCTGTTTTCTCTGAATTATTTAAGTTGGAACAGCTTTAACTGCTTGTTACCATCTTTGCTTTTATGACATTGAGATTCATGCTTTTTCTGTTCCTTTTTAACAGCCTTCCTTCTCCATGTATTCCTAACTTTAAACTCTTTCCACACCTATACATTGGTGTGGCATATTGGAAAGTTGTTAATTATTAGAAGCCCAGAGATATTTGAGTTATTTTTTAAAGAAGATATGGCATAAATTTCACAGTGACTAATGATTTTTTCCCTACCCTACCGATTTGTCTGCTCACTTACAACTGCTTAAAAATAAAAGTAAATTTGGGTTTCAGACTTCCCGAGTGCTTTCTAGAAGTCGACGTTCTGCTACTGGGTACATTCCTGTAATTAAAATAACTCTGCTTATTCCTGTCACATGCATATTAGTAAAGTTTCTCTCTTTGACTGTCATGTTAGCTGCTCGTCATACCTCTGGGTCTTTGCTAAAGCAATGACAGATGCAAGCAATGATGCAGATGGAGTTTGCGCCATCAATGAGCAGGAAACTCCCCCATTCTGCTGTGCTAGGGGTTAGGACACTTCCCTAAAGCTGCTGTTTCTCACTTTACACTCCTTGGGGACAGTTACAGTAAACTGAACATCGAGGATCTTCAGAAATGAAATTACGAAGAGGAAAGCATTTGTCTTTGTCAGCCATCTCTAGGAATCTACTTGGCTTCCAAGTACCCTGTGATCTTCTATAACAGATACTGAATACCTGGTATTTCTCAGGAAAGCAATGTAGTTTTCCAATTTCTTAAAAAAAAAAAAGAAAGAAAGAAAGAAAGAAAGAAAGAAAGAAGGAAAGAAAGAAAGAAAGAAAGAGAAGAAAAACGAAAAAGAAAAAAAGAACATCTCTTTCTCTCTGGCAAAATCCACTTGCCCTTGTAAGCTTAAAAGCTACCTCAGAGTAGCAGCCTCCTGGTCTAATAATGTTACTGTAGCAATGCCCCTGATGTATTATCATTAGTTAGGTGAAAGAAATGTTTACAAGCTTATGTTTTAAACTGAAGAATACTCAAGATGACACATTTTCAGGATTGAGACAGAAAGAAGAGAACCAGTAGGGTGTATTCAAATGGAAAGACCCCTCAAATCATATCCTAATACATACCATGAGAAGCTACTCCTAAAAGTGTCTAGATACGGTTCGTTCTGTAATGGCATTAGCATAGAGTTGGTATACCTGACGGTCTTACTGAGTGTAACACTTTGAATTTGAAATGTACATTAAAGACTCCTATGTTAAGGGCTCAGTCTCAGCTGATGGACTTCAGAATTGAGGACTGTAACTTCAAAGACAGATTAATCCATTGATAAAATTGAGTTGAATGGTTTATTGGGAGGTGGGTCTGGATGGAAGGCATAAGTCACCAGGCATTGTTGATCCTAGACTTTTGCTTTCTGTCCTTTTGCCTCTTGTTTGGCATGAAGTAGGTACCCTGCTCTGGCAATGCTCTGCCTTGCTGCATAAGGACCCAGAAACAACAGAGCCAAGGGACCATAGACTGAAATAAACAACAAAGATGAAACTGTTCTGATTTAAGTTTTTCAACTCAGGTGCTTTGTGACAATCATACAAGATGACAAACATACCTAGCATTGTGAAAGCCCTTTGATTGGTGTACTGCCGTTTCATTTTAAAAGGATGGACCAACCCTTGGTGCCTTTCCACGGCAATGCAGGTCATAGTAAGGATTTCTGTCACAATGGCAGTGCACTGGACAAATGGCACCATTTTGCAAATGAAGGCACCTATAGCAAAGAAAGAAAAATATCATATATGAAAAACAATGATATTCATTCTGCCTCTTTTTAATTGTCATAATAAATTAATTCTGAACTTCTGCGTAAGGCTTTATAATTATAACTATGTTACAGACACAACATAATTGGACTTATATCTTCTTTCCATGACTGATTTTAATGTTCTAAATGTCAAGCAATTATTCATCCCCAAACAATGAGAGAAAAATCTGTACCTAGCTACTGATAATAGGCAGGAACAAGTTCATATGAGTAGGTAGAGATGACGGGACATCTCTACAATCCTAGCACTCAGGAGATAAATGCAGAAGGATCCAGAATTTGAGCTCAGTCTGGGTTACATAATGAAGTCTAAATCAACCCAGGTTCCACAGTAAAACCTTGACTCAAAAATAAAATAAAGACAACAACATCAATGACTCTTGTTTTAGAAAGGGCTAAGTATGACATGGTCTTAGGGTCTCAGCTGCTGGGTCATCTGTTTCCTCCCCTTTAGCTTTTCTGTGAAATCATAGCAAGGGGATAATTGCTATCAGAGTCCCAAAACACAGCTTTTATTTCTTACTTTTCTTTTGGCTCTCTGCCCAAATCTTTATATAAGTCTAACACTATTCTTTTGACTAACTGTATTTTCTCTGCTGTGGTTGGGCAAGATGCTGCACTGTGAAGACATTTCATTTGGTTTGTGTGATCATTTTTAAATATTTAAGTACGTTGCTAAACTTGTTAGATGTTCATCTGTTCTGCTTGGCCTTTTACCATTTGAATCATAAGCCCTAATCTGTCATGTCTGCTGTTTTTGGTGTCTGTGATGGCAATTCTTGATTGTCAATGTGACTACACGTGGAATTCAGGAATGGGAAGTTTTTGTTTAATTTGAAATAGGAAGATCCATTTCTAATTCAGAGGTTTTCAGGTAGGAAAACATGTGATTAATCCAGATCTAATCTGCAGGAAACCTATATAAAGGACATGGAAGAAGGAAGAATCTTCTCTTTGCCTGCTTGCTAGCAAGTCCATTCCTTCACTGTCATTAGAGCCCAATTCTTCTGGTGCACACTGAAGACCAGCTGAGACATCCAGTTTCATGGACTGAGCAATAACTGAACTCTTAGACTTTCCATTCACAGCCAACCATTGTTGGATCAGCCTATATGTCATTCTAATAAATTTCCTTTTGATACACATGGAGAGATTTAATCTATAAGATCTGTTATTCTAAAACAGTGCTTCTTAACTTGTGCGATATGACCCTTTAGGGTTGAATAGCCTTTTCATGGGGTCTCTTAAGACTCTAATAAAACACAGATATTTACATTATGATTCATAGCAATAGCAAAATTACAGTTATAAAGTAGCAACAAAAATAATTTTATGAGCGGTGGTCACCAAATCACGAGGAACTATATTAAAGCATCACAACATTAGGAAGGTTGAGAACTCTGCTCTGGAGAACACTGACTGAATACAGCATCTATCCTTCTTGTCTCTTTCTAATTATTTGCTATCAGATAACCAGAAACTCATGGAGGAGACCTGAAAGATTCTGTAGTTCGAACTTATGCTATGCCCATTCTGCTTCTCTGAATAGCATTGAATTACTGTAGTCACTTTTACAATGAGGTTAACCCACATTAACCACAGAATTTTAAAGATGCTTTTATAATTCTTTGAGAATTTCTTACAAATTTCTCTCATCTCCGAGGCAGCCTCCTTTCTCGCACACATCCACCTGAAGTCTTTGAATGGCATTTCTCTATCCTTGAAATGTTCCTTCTAAAATAACTTCCTCATACAGTTCACAGAAATCTGTCTTCAAGTGCCATTATGATGGTTAATTCTGTATGTTAGGTTGACTGGAATAATGAATGTCTTAAACGCCTGGTGAAGCACCATTTCGGACTATACCCATGGATGTGTTTCAGAAAGAAATTAACCTTTTGATAAATGAACTAAATAAAGATCATCTCTCTTCAGTGTAGATAGCCAACATCCAATCTGCTGAGTACTTGAATTAAAATGTTAAAGAAAACAATCCTGCTCTCTGAAACATCTGTCTCCCCCAACCTTGGATATCTGGTTACCAGCCCTTTGGTTTGTACTGGAATTTTACCACCAGATTGCTTGAGTCTCCAGATTACAGAAAGAAGATATACAAGCCTGAATAAGAATATGAGCATGTCCCTCAAAATTAAAACTCTCTGTATTTCTGTGTTTCTCTGGATAACACTGGATTCATCTTCACAATGAGGCATAAAACATATTTTTTTAATTTTAAAATTTATTGAGAATTCATTTTGTTGGATATTTTATTTACATTTCAGATATTATCCCCTTTCTTATATAATATACTTTAATTATAGTCACCCCACCCCTCCTTCCAGATCCATTGTACTCTCTACATCCCCCAACTTCATTTCCTAATTTAAAAAAAAACCCACAGGAACCATTTTGTGCTGCTATAAACTTCTGGGTTTGTGGTCATCAGATGGAGTATGATTGCCCTATCAGAAACTGCAAACTCTAAAGAAAACTACCAGAAACTCTAAAGAAAACTGGCTCTTTTCCTCAGAAGCCAGCAATTGTCCATAGTTCCCCAGTTGGGAGCTGGAACTAATCTCTCTATCCTAGAATTTTTAGTGGCTAGATATTATGCAAATATTGTGCAGGTAGTCACAGCTGCTGTGAATTCAAGGGTGAAAAGACCCTGCTGTGTCCTACCTTGCCCAGTCCTACCTGACCTCTGGCTCTTACGGGCTTTCTTTCCCCTATTTTTCAATGGTCCCTAAGCCTTCAGGGTAGAAGGTGTATAGATGTCTCATTTATGGTTGAGCACTCCGTTATTACTTATTCTCTGTACTTTGACTGTTGTGAATTTCCATATTAACTACCGTCTGATGTACAGAGAAACTTTTCTGGTGAAGACTCGGAGCTTGACTAATCCATGAGTCAAGATATGAATTTAGACAGCAGTTTGATAGTGTGTGCGTTTAACATAAAAACAGTAGTAGGATGACCCTTGTGAGCTCTCCAACCATAGGTTCTCTGTCAGATTTGAAGTAGCAGGCATGAAGTCCAACAGAGAGCACTTAGTTATCTCCATAATATTTGTACCGCTATTGAACCTATGAGCATATGTTGTCGTCCTGGTCATTAACAATGGACTATTTAAGAGAACTCTGTCCTACTCCACTGCCATCTTATTTAAGATCAACATACCAAATCTATTTCTAACATTGTTAGTGACTGTGTATTGGATTTTTGTAAAGTTGCTGCATCTTTTCCGTAGCAGATACATCACTGTGCATTCTTTTCTTTGTTTCTTGGTTTATTATTAAGATTGTATTTTAATTACAACATTTTTCATCTCTTTCCTCCCCACAAACCCTCCCATATTCCCTCCCTGCTCTCCTTCAAATACATGGTCTCTCTTTTCATCAATTGTTATTGCATGAATATATGTACCTGTATAAACATATATATTCCCAAATATAACCTGTTGAGTCCATGCAGTGTTACTTGTGTGTATGTTTTCAAGGCTGACCTTTTGGAACTGAAAAACCAGTTGGTGTTATCTTCCATAGGGAGGGCTACCCCAACTGCTCTCAGCTTTACTCACTTGCCTGTAGATTTTTTTCTGTAGGGTTAGGGCCTTATTGACAACTCCCCCTGCACATGGCATGTTCATGGTGTTCTATTCATCTCATATTTGAGTAGTTATGTTGGTGAGATTTTTATAGGTGTAGCTTCTGGAATTCTAGGATACATAATATCACAGCAAATTCCCTGAGCCTCTGGCTCTTACAAGCCTTTCATCTTCTCTTCCACAGTTTTTCTTGAGCCTAAGGTCTGAGAGTATTTTATAGATGTATTCATTGGGATTGGGTTCCAAAACTTCACATATTGATTGGTTGTGGGTTTTGTTTTTGTTTTCTGGTAGTCTCCCTGTGTTGCAAGACAAAATTTTCCTGATGAAGGTTAAAAACCTGTGGGTATAAGGACAAATGTTTATAGATTTTTGTTGGGGACTGTGGTGGTTTAATAAATTATTGGTTGTAGATTCTCTTCATGATTTCACTAGAACTGGTAAGTTGCCTAGGTTTTCAGTACTAGTCATGGTGTTGATTCCCTCCTTTGGAAGCTTGCATGGTACCTTCTGATACCATTAAAAATAGCCTACAAGGAGAAGGCTTTGAAGTCAATTATAGCTCAAAGGGACTCTGGGCTCTTTTTCTGAAGTACATGGAGTCCTTAACAGTAGGAATTTAGCTTGCATTCCTGGCAACCAAAGGCAACAGCAATAACCTGTGATATTTGGTGTATCTCTTTGTTATCTCTGCCCAACAACTCAAGAGTAAGGTTCCCATCCCTGGATTGAGGTTACTGTTAGATGCTCTTTAGCTATCAGAAAGAACTCAAATGGAAAAATCACATTCAAAAAACTTATATATTCTATACACCAATTTGTGTATATTATAGATATTGTAAGATGATAGTTAATAGTATGATTCCTTATGACTTTCTCATAATGTTACTGTTATTTTACTTTCTTCCATCCTTCTTCTGTATTTATCATCCTCCTAATTAGGGCCTCCTCTTTTTTCCCCAAATCAGATCACTTGTACCATAATAGTTCCTTCTTTATTGATTCCCATCCCCTTCATTCCCCATGATCCCTTTTTACTTCCTGGTTTCTGCAGTCACTCTAGTCATATGCTCACATCTGCAAATTCACAGCTAGGAATCTCAGATTGTACGAACGTGAGACATTTGTCCTTATGGGTCTGAGTTGCCTCACTCAATATAATCTTCTCTAGTTCCATCCTCCACTATATGCTAATTGTTACTTAATTTTTCATTATAGCTGAATAGTATTCCATATATACAATACTTTTATTGAAAATATTTTTTCATGTAGTATATTCTGATCATATTTCCCTTCCCTCATTTCCTCCTAGATCTTCCAATATCCACATCCATCCAACTCC